TTTTTTTTTGATTTAAAGAAAAAAAAAAAAATTAAATAAAATACCTTAATTAAAAAGGTTGTTGTAAAAATAAAATTAATAATAGTGATATAAATAATGATTATATAATTTATTCATTTTCATTAAATTTATTAAAATAATTAATAATTTAAATTTTTTTATTTTTTAAATTTTTTTTTTTATTTTACAAAAAAAGATCTTTTTTCTTTATTTGTTAACTAAATCTAAAACTAAAAAAATAAGGTAGTTAGATAATTTAAATAAAAAAAATAAAATAAAACTAAATCAAAGTTTTAATTTTGGAAAAATGTAACTTTATTATTTTCTTAATGTTCACCACTCTCACTAATTTATCACCAACACCAATTTCTTCAATATTTGCATACCACTTGCATATCAAAGATCTCTTCTTGGAATTTTTTACAAATCTATGGACCCCAATACACAATTAATACCACTTTCAATCATCTCTAAGAAAATAAATTTGATAGTATTAGTAATTGTACTAACACCACCAGATTTTATTATTCAACATTGATAGTTGATTATACCACGCTTTTTGTGGTGCAGATGAATTGTTTTCACCACCTGTCAATCGACCATGGATCTTTTCCATTTATTGATACCAAATAGTTTTTAGAGATGATAATGAAAGAAGTGTTAAATGTATGGAGTATCACAGACTTGCAAAAAAAATCCTCTTGGATATACAAGTGGTATATCAATACCCAAATCATTGAGCATTTCAAATATTTGAAGAAATAAGTGTTGGTGTATAATTTAAAAAAAAAAAAAAAATGAAAATAAATAAATAAAAGTTGCTAAACAAAAAAAAAATTAAAAAAATAAAAAAAATTTATATAAAGATAAAAATAATAATAAAATTAATATTAAAAAAAAAAAAAAATAAAAAAAAAATAAATAACTTTTTTTATAACTATTATTTATTTTTTTATTTATTTAATTATTTTTTATTTTATTTATTTAATTAAATATATAAATAAATTATATAATTTTTCTAAGCATATTATAGTGCCATATTTAAAAAGTTGCTTTTAATATCTATAAAATTTTTTTTTACAATAATTAAAATAAATTTGCTTCACCATTTTGTGTGAAAAATAAAAAATCAAGATAATTATCTTTTTTTAATATTTTGAGAAAAAAAAAAAATAAAATATGATTTTTTTTTTTTTAATATTGTGATTTTTAAAAAAAAAATTTTACATACCTTAACTTTTTTTTTTTTTATAAAGGAATAAAATATATACCAAAAAAAAAAAAAAAAGGTTAGTTATAAAAATATTTATTTATTTATTTATTTATTTTTCTTATTTTATTTTTTTTTTATACCCTTTCTTTTTTTTATACCCCTATCTTTTTTTATTTTCTAAAGTGTCAAAAAACTAAAATATCTACGTTTTTTTTTTTTTTAAAAATTTATTTTTATTTTTTTGTTTTTTTAAGTTTCTAACTTTTTTTTCAATCAATATATTACTTTTTTTTTTTATTTTTTATTTTTTATTATTTTTTAGACTTTTAATATTAAACCACAATAATAAATAAATAAATAAGAATGGGTGTAGAAGAAAATGTAAATTTAAATAAGGATGATGGTTCAAGCCCACCACCACAACAACCACCACAACAACAACAACCACAACAACAACAACAACAACAATATTCACCACAACAAGGCTATCCACCACAACAAGGTTACCCACCACAACAAGGCTATCCACCACAACAAGGCTATCCACCACAACAAGGTTACCCACCACAACAAGGTTATCCACCACAACAAGGCTATCCACCACAATATGCCCAACAACCACAATATGCTCCACAACCAATGCCATACCCACCACCAAATGGTGCACCACAACAAGCTCACATGGCCCCACAACCAGTTGTTGTTCAACAAGTAACTACAGTAACCCCAGCATACATTCAACCAGTTTTCCGTGATGTACCAATTGATTGTATGTGTGGTCATTGTAACACACATATCACTACCAAAACATCATATAAATCTGGTTCAATGGCTTGGTTAGTTTGTATTTTACTCATTATTTTTGGTTGTTGGTTAGGTTGCTGTTTAATTCCAGTAAGTTTTTTTAGTTTTAAATTAATTTTTCAACTTTGTTTAAATATAAATACTAATCTTTTAATATTAATCTTATAGTTTGCCATCGATTCATTAAAAGATGTTGTCCACAAATGCCCACAATGCAAAAAGAAGTAAATATTATACTATTATTATACTATTATAAAATTATTTAAAGATTTCTAATTTTCATATTTTTTTTTTTAAAAAACTAAAGACTTTACAGATTTGATAGAATGAACGGCAAATAAACAATCATCCATTCCAAAATAAAAACAAAAAACAAAAAAAAAAAAAACAAAATAAAAAAGAAACAAATTATTTATTTAAATAAAAAAATATGTGATAATTTTCAAATTATTTTTTTTAAAACTATAAAACTTTTAACCTACCTTTTTATTAAAGTGAGGGGGAAAATAAAAAAAAGAAAAAGAAATAAAAATAAAAAATATTTATATATTTAAACTGTGTGTAATGTATATTAAAAAAAAAAATTAATGTATTTAATCTTTTTTTTTTTTTTTTTTTTATTTTTTTAATTTTTTTTAAAATAAATATATTTAAATATATTTAAGAAATAAAAGTTTTATTTAATAAATATAATAATAAATTAACATTTAATTTGAAAAAGTCAGTTTCATATTCTGTTTGGCTGTTTGATTGCATTTCTAATAGTTCATCTAAATGTAATTTAATTTCACTTACAGCGGTGGTTCTATAAATTAAAACGACATCATAGATACCAGGTGATTCAGATGAGAAAGAGAAAAATATATTTGAACGTCTATCCTCTGGTACTTCTGATTGAGATATTAAACCATCCTTTTCCATTTGGGAATAACTAAATTTGAATGGACCTTTCTTTGCTACCTTTTTATTTTTTTCTTCTTTTTTATCTTTTTCTTTATCTTTTTTTGATTTCTTTGTATCGCTGCTACTACTGGTGTTATTTGAGGTACCACAATTTTCACGAACATTACTTAGATATTTTTCATAGTAATCCAATTGTTGTTGAAGGAAAACGTTATGCTGATGAATAGTGGCCAATACTTGTTTAAGTTTATCGATATCTTGAGTTGTTTTATTGATATAGGTTTCATAATTTAAAAGTTCTGCTACAATATCTTTACGAAGTTGGATAAAATTATCGTCTTCACCTTTGAGATAACCTTCCATAGATAATTTTTTTACATTTACTAAAATCTTTTTGATGTTATCTACAATATCTTGATTTTTATGATGAGCTGCATGTTTGGCAACCTCGGCTAATGAAGCACCCATATAGGAATCTGAACTGCCTGGAGTTGAAGCGAGCGAACGAAGAACGGTAATTAATAAATACTTTGTTTCATTATAGATTTGCTCTGGATTACCTTGAGAGGTGATATCATTGGATGAGCCTTGAGCATTTAGTTGATCTGGGAAACGATTACTAAGTTTAAGTTCAACATTTGCGTTATCGCTTCTTGAGAGTTGTGGTGGAGCTGGACCTAAATCTGAAAGAATAATACGAAGTGGATCATTTGAATCTGGTGCTAAACTGTTGATGTGTTGTTCAAGTAAAGAGTGTATAAAGTACATTTCATTTAAAGTGATATTGATGGTAGTGTCACCTGTCTTTGCCATTGCCAAATATTTATCTAATTGAAGATGATCGTTGAGACTTTCTACTTCGGTTAATGACTCTAAAAAGTCATTTAGTCTATCTTTATTTCTTTCTAAAAATACATTGAGAGGTTCCATAAAAAACTCTTTAACACCGCCAAACATAATATTATTTGCTAAATTTTGAAGCATTTTGGCGGGGAAAGTTAAATTTCTTTTTGTGTTGTTTGAGAGTTTGCCATCGACCAACATAAAAGCCTGTGGGGTAACAACTGCTGGATTAATATAACGTAAAAGGAAGAAACCACCAATAAGACCACAAGTTTGAGCACGGGTGGCTTGTGGGAATTTTTGTTTAACCAACTCTCTAATTTGTTTACATATCCAACGAATACCATAGGGGACAGCGTCGACACTTGAAAGAATAGAGTCTAAGAATTGCTCGCCAATTTCAATTAGTTTTTCGATACGTGGCTTAATAATATCTTTAACATTTTGATTCTCTGAACATTCTTCTGGTGACACTTTTCTCTTGAGTGGTGATGGTTTACCAGTTTTGGTTTCATACTCGTTAATATAATTTTCATAAACTGTTGATGGATTAACCTCGAGGTTTAAATCTTTATTACTTGTGATATCGGCTAATGGTCTACTGAGTCTTTGCTTGAGATACTGTTGACCTGGACCTCTACGTGTATAGGTAGTCATCATACGAGTGAGTGCTGTGTTTGCTCTTAAAAGTGAACCAATGCTTGTTGCCTCTTTAAACTCTTCTTGGAGTACCTTTTGAAACATTGATAATAATAAATGCTCTTCTTTCTCTTCGTATTGATTACCATAGAGTGTAAACATTACTGTTTGTAAAAGATTATCGATCTCACCTACTTTAACTAATTTTGCTAATTGTGCGATATAATTGGTGTTGTTTTGAAGTAAATAAAATAATTGTCCATAGTGATCTCTCTGTGATTTATCTTTTAATGTAATAGTTCTGGTTTGTAATTCTACAATATCACCTGAATTCATAATTTCATCCAATGTGATTCTATTTTTAATTAATAATGCAATCTTTTTATCAAGGTTTTTAATATCTCTTTCTAATGTAAAATTCTTTTTGCTGCTCATTGAAATTTCTCTTTTTAAATCAAATAATGATTTTTGATCTAAATTTTAAATATAATATTTAAAGTATTAGTATTTTATTATTATTACTAAATGTATATATGTATGTAAAAGGGGTATATTACTTTTTGCTAAAACTTCACTTTTAACGTGATCTTGTTGACCGATGATATCGACAAGATTAACGCTCATAATCCTTGAATCTTGTTGATTGGCACTACTTGCACCTCCTCTTCTTAAAGGATCTGGTGAATTGGTTGCACCGCCATTATGTACGTTTAAATTTGACATTTTTTTTTATAAAAAAAAAATTAAAAACTGAAAAAAAAAAAAACTATTATTTATTGATGATTATATATTTTATATAAACAATTGATTTTTGAATTATTTATTGCAGCTATTTGTTGTTGTTTTTTCTATATATTATTATTAAATATGATACAAAATCTCTTTATTTCTTTCCTTCCTTCCTTCTTTTTCTACTATATTTTTTTTTATATCTCTTTATCTATATAATTTAATATGTACTAAAAAAACTAAATACATTATAGTATAAATAGAAATTAATAACAAAAAAAAAAAGATATTAAAAATAAAAAAAAAAAATAAAAAATATAAAAAATAAAAAAAAAAAGGAAAAAAATAAAAAAAAGATATTAAAAAGATAATTTATAAAAAATTTTAAAAAAAAATTAAAAAAAAAATATAAAAAAAATTAGTTAATATTGTAATAGTAATAAACTATATATTTATAAAAAAAATAAAACTATATATTTTAAATATAAAAAAAAAAAAAAAAAAAAAAAAAAAAAAATAACCTTTAATTTTTTTTTTTTAAATTTTTTTATTTATTGGTATTGTGTATATCTGTGTGTGGTGTGTGTGTAAGTGTGTTGTATTTTTGTTTTGTGTGATAGTGAAATTATTTATTTTTATTATCATTTAAAAATATACACTAAAAATGATTGATTTTTTTTTATTTTAAAAAAATAAAATAAAATAATAATAAAAAAAAAGATAAATATAAATAAACACAGTTTAAACCAAAAAAATAAAAACTTACAAATGAAATTTAAAAAAAATCCCAAGAATGACAAATTTGTTGAAAAGAAAACCAATATTTATATATATTTAATTATAATTATATACACAAATACAAATAATCTTTTTTTTTATACACAAAAAATATAGAAAAAAAAAAAAAAAAGAAAAATAAAAAATCTATTTTTTTTTTTTTTTCAATTTTTTTTTTTTTAATTTTTTTTTCAATTTTTTGTTATTGCTGAGATCTCATGCTTTTTTTTCGATAATATTGAGACAATAATGAATGGTTTTGAAAAAAAAAAAAAAATAAAAAAAAAAAATAAAATAAAATTAAAAAATGGTTTGTTTAACTACCAAATTGGTTATTGTATTTTTTTTTTATCTCTTTTTCTTTGTTTTTTTTTTTTTATTTTATTTTTTATTTATTAGTTTTTATTAAGAATATCTTTTCCACATATTTAATAAATAATAAATATAAAAAAAAAAAAAAAAAGATTTTTAACAATCATTTTTTTTTATTAGATTTTTTTAATTTTTTAATCATGATTATTTGAAAAAAAAAAAAAAAGCTATCCATTGAAAAAAAATAAACACACACAATCATATTTGATTTTAGATTTTTAATTTTTAATATTTTTTTATTTTTTTATATATATATATATATAATTTTAACATATATATATTTTAACAAAAGATTTATATTAGTTTAATAAAGAGTTTACACTATTCGATTTAAAATTTGTGTTTAACATATCATTCGAGGGTACCAATGGTGATTGATTGGTTGGTGAATTATTGTTTGAATTTGGTGCGGAAGATGTACATGTGGTGTTGCTACTAGTTGCGGAAAATGATATAACTCTTTCTTGTGATGTTCTAATATTTCTTAATTTATCTTTAGTGCGACGATTGTCTAACCATCTTTGGATTCTATTTGGGTTCCACATTAAAGTATTTGAAAGAGTTGTTAGTTCATCTTTTGAGGACTTGGAGGTTGAGCCATAGTATTTTTTATAATAGTTTTCTAATAATGATTTTTCGTCTGGTCTTGTAGTTTTTCTCATCCTCTTCTTTGGTGATTCCCCATTGTTACAATCTTCATCATCGTCACCGTCATCAAATTCGTCATCAAATTCATCATCAAATTCGTCATCCATATCAATTTCATCATCGTTGTCATTTACTTGGTCTGGTGCCACTATATAGTTACTGCTTGAATTTAATTTCATTAGTGACATTGTATTGGCAGTAGAGTTACTTAGACTGCAACTTGCTGACCATTGTGGGGATCCATTCTCTGATGATGAGTATTCATTTGATTTTTCTAATGGTGATGATGATCTATGTGGTGAGCTGTTGTTTGAGTTTGAACTGTTTATATGGTTGTTATTAACGATTACATTGTTTGAAGACATTTGTAAACTATTTTTTTTGATTAATGGTATATTTATATTGCTTTGTGATAAATATAATTTGTTTGAAAGTCTTGACGATGGAACTTCTCTTTCATCAATATCATCTTCTTCACCATTATATCTTTGTATTATGTTGTTTTTAATTGGTGATGGTTTAATTATATTGATATTGTTATAGGTTTCTTCAAAATGATTATTTCTGTGTTGAATTCTAGAGTTGCTTCTTTTAAGTTGTGGTTCATCATAGTCATCTTTATTGTAAAAGTCATTATGGTTAGAAGAGTTTAATATATCATCGAAGCTTTTTGCTCTGGTAAATGGTGGTACATTGGACTGATTTAAAGTTGGTGATTGGTTTACCATTGGTAAAATTAATGGAGCACTAATGGATGGTTTTAATTTCTTTTGGTTAAGGTATGAGTTATGATGATCGATTTCATCATTTAATGGTAAATTATTAGCGGTGTTTTGAATTGGGGTTGGTGGTGGAGAGAACATATTTATATTATTTTTTAAATATGGAGATGATAAAACTTGGTGGTGATTGGGGGTATTGTGCTGACTTGGTGGTTGTTGGAATTGTAATAATGGTGTTGTCATTGGGGATGGAGATTGTGAATGTAAATGGTGGGAATGATTTGGGGTTTGTGGTACAGCTTGTTGGTGAGGTTGTATATGTTGTTGCTGCTGTTGTTGTTGTTGTTGTTGGGAAAGATAAAAAGCTTGATGGTTTTGTGGGTTGTTTCCATAAAATTGGGGTGTCATTGAGCTATTGTTTGGTGAGTTTAATAAAAGATTTGTAAAGCCATTTTTCTTTAATTCTTCTTGAATCATTTTTTGTTCGTGTCTTCTCTTTCTTCTGCTTCTTTTATTTAATGCAGTATGTTCATATGGGTCGTGAATTTGTTTTAAACCATAATATCCCTTTCTACCATTTTCTAAGGCACTTTCTTGTTGGAACATTTCAAAGTATTGTGGATGGGATAGAGTCATGTTAACAGTTTGTCTCCATATGGATGTTCTCTTTCTCATACATATGGTTTCATAGTGGCTATCTATAAAAGAACATATATCTTTCTTGATATGGTAATACTTTAATTCTGGTTTTGAAATAGTTAGGCAATATAATGCAATATAACAAATATCGGCCCAAGTTGGGGCAGATGTATAAAAGGATGGAGGAGGTCCATATTGGCAAATACAACAACGTAAATAGTTACAGTTGTTTGGAACATTCTGATTGTTGTCTTGATTAATTTTTCCGTTTTGGGATACCGATAATTGTGGGGAGTTTAGTGAAAGTGTTGACAACTGGTTATTATTGTGTTCAAATTCATTTGGATCATCTTCATCACTTGGTTCATCATTTCCGCTAATTGGAGAGCTATTGTTGTTTTCATACGGATCACATATGTTTTCTTGATCATTTGTTTTTCGGTTATTATTAATAGAGTTTACAATAGAAATTAAGTTCGTCGATATCCTATTAAGTTGTGGTGGAGGAGAGTTTAATAAAGATTGTTGTTGATGATGGTTATTATGATTGGAGTTTGGTTTAAAAGAGTTGTGTTGTGGTGATGTTAATGATAAAGATTCCATATTTATTGATTTTCTTTTATGATTATTTACATATGGTGTTATTGGTGTTGAGTTTATTTGGTTATTTGTTAATTGGGGTGATTTATGAATAGATAATAACATTTTATCAACATCTTCATTATCTGAATCTTCAAAGTCATTAGTTTTTATATTATTATTATTATTGTTGCTATTATTTACAATGTTGTTTAAATTTGAATTAAAGTTATTAATGTTTTTTTTTAATTCACCATAGTTAATTTCTTCATCAATTTCATTTGGGAATTGTTTTGAGGTCATTGGGTTTTTATGTATTTTGAAATTATGTTGCTGATTTTTTTGTTGATGATCTATTGTCATTGGAAGATTATCTTTTAGTGATCTTAAAAGGGTGTCAGCTTCAAGTTTCATTTGAATAGGAAAATGTTGCTTTATATTAGAGTCCATCTTTAACATTTTTTAATTAAAAAAAAGAAGAAAGTTAATAAACAGAAAAAAAAAAGTTATAAAAACAAACTTGTATAAATTATTTATTTGTTTTAAAGAGTGAGTGATTATTTAATATTGTTAATTTAAAAAATTATTTTTATATTGTTTAATATTTGGTTTTAAAAGTGATTATATAGATAAAAAAAAAATTATTTTTGAATTTGAATTGTTTCTGATAACATTTTATTTTATATTTTTTTTAAAATTTATAAAAAAAAAAATAAAAAAAAAAAATAATAAAAAAAGTATTACTGTGTTATTGTGGTCAAAAACAAATACCAATTGTTTTCGATTGTAGTAAAAAGTATAAATAAATGATACTTTGTAAATTAAGAATAAAATTAAAAATTACATAGATTAAAATTTATAATTATTTTAAAAAAAAATAGTGTAGCATAATTTAAAAAATGTTTTTTTGTAGAATTGGTAGTGAAATTAAAACTTTAATCTCTAAAACAAAATATTATGTATTTTTTAAAAAAAAAATTGAGGTGGTGTTTGTTTTTATAAAAATAAAATTTAAATTAAAGTGAAGTGTGGTGTGTATTATTATATTTTGAATGATATGCACAAACAAGTAATTTATATTACATAATTATACAGATTAATAATCTTTAATCAATAATAATAATGGTGTATTTTAAAAATTTAAGATTAAAATTATTGTTTTGACTATTGATCTATGTTTGATTATTTTTTTTAAAATTAATGATTTAACAAATGCAGATAATTATATTTTATTTAAAGGTTATAAAATAGAAATATTAAAATTATTTATATATGATAATTTATTGTTGTTGTGTTGTTGTTGTTGTTTTTTAAAAAAAAAAAAAAAAGATGAAAATAAAAACATATATACACAAATGCGATATAATTATAGAATACTGAGATGTTTTTATAAAATATTAAATCTTCACAATAAATATTTTTATAAATATTAAATCACATGAGATTTAAGATAAAGGAAATTCCATACATTATTTTAAAAAAAAATAAAAAAAAAAAGAAAAAAAATAATTTTAACTTTTATATTAAATAATAAAAATAAAGATATATTGTAATTCAATATGAGGACTATTTCCAAATTTTATTTTTATTATTATTAGATAAAATTAAAATAAAATTTAATTATATTTTGAAAAGAATTTTTATAAAACAAAAAATGGAAAATGAAAAAAAACAATAAAAAAAACAACAA